CGAGCACTCACACGACCGGGTCACACGAGTCGTGTGAGGCCACACGACTCGTGTCCCGACCCACACGACTCGTGTGAAAATGCCGTAGCTGCGTCTCTTCTTTCTTCAACCCACACGACCCGTGTCACTACCCACACGAGTCGTGTGACCTCTTCTGCACCTGTTTTCGCCGTTTTTCGTCCCGATTCCATCTCCAACGCATTTCCGGGCATATTTCCTGCAAAAACAACGACAAAAACACCTCTATCATAGTTTAATAAATCAAACAAAATGGTGCACAATCACACAATAATCATGGCCAAATATCACTATATATCACTCATAATGCATGAAAATATGATGAATGTCAGGAGCGCATCAAGCAGTCACATTAGCTGATGAACATGTGGTCTAGGTAAATTCTGTTCATAATTTTCTACAACATGTATATCTTATCATACAACATGTTCACAAAATAATATAACATGTAGATCTTTATTCTGAAACATGTTCATCCCTTCATACAACAACTTCATCCCTTTAACCAACATGTTCATCTCATTATAAAAAATTTTCATATCATAATGTATCATGTTCATATAATAATATAACAGCTTCATCTCATACAAGTTCTTTTCCTAAAAAGAAACAACAAGAAGATTTAGTTGAAAGGTTTGAAAGGGCTATGACAAATATAGCACCATTCGTGTCTGAAGTTCGAGAGGTGTGTGAAAGGGCAAAGAGCTCAGATTTGGTTGCTGCTCTCATTATTCATCATGCACTTCAGAACCATGCATCAGTTCTCATGAAAATCGCACAAGGTGTTATTGATGTGCAAAGAAATGAAGGAATTGATGATGAAATGGGTTCTGATGGACAACAAGATGCAGGTAACATGTTCATTTCATTCTAAAACATGTTCATCAGATTGAATGACATATTCATTATCTTAAACATGTTCTTAAGCATGTTCATCTCCATATTTAACATGTTCATTTCATTCTTAAACATGTTCATCTGATTGAATGACATATTCATTATCTGAAACATGTTCTTAAGCATGTTCATCTCCATATTTAACATGTTCATTTCATTATCTAGAAAATGAGGATGAGGAGTCAATTCATGTAGAGGTTGGGGATGATGTTTTGGTGCAAGAACAAGAAGGAATTGAGAATGAAGTGGAAAATGATCGAGAGGAACAGGAACAAGAACAAGAACAGAATGGAGGTAACATGTTCATTTCTCTCTCAAACATGTTCATCTTATTGCATTGTATATTCATTATCTTAAACATGTTCATTATCTTAGAAAATGAGGAAGAGAAAGAGGATGATGATGTGCAAAGAAATGAAGGAATTGAGACTCAAATGGGAACTGATGGACAGCAAGAAGCACAAGATACAGGTAACATGTTCATTTCGTTCTTAAATATGTTCATTTTATTGAATAACATATTCATTTGGGTCTGAATATTTATTTATTCATTCTGACGGTGAATGAATTCAATGTGAAGGAATTCAATCTATTTTGTCAGATATTTTCAATGAATATGGGGATGGAGAAGACAGTAATAAGGAAGTGGATGAGGATGATGTTGTGGTGCAAGAACGGGAAGGAATTCAGAAAGAACTTGCAACTGATGGACAGCAACAAGCATAAGACACAGGTAACATATTCATTTCGTTCTTAAATATGTTCATTTTATTGAATAACATATTCATTTGGGTCTGAATATTTATTTATTCATTCTGATTTTGAAGGAATCCAATCTATTTTGTCAGATACTTTCAATGAACATGGGGAGGGAGAAGAAGACCGAGAAGAAAACACTCTTGAAAATATGATCTGCAAGGAGTTGCTTCAGTGGCAGATGAAGAGATAAGAGAGCGGACTCCTGAAAAAAATGAACTGCAAGGAGATGCTTCAGTGGTAGAAAAGCTGGGAGAGAAGACTCCTGAAAAAAATGATCTGCAAGGAGATGTTTCGGTGGTAGAAGAGCTGGGAGAGAAGACTCCTGAAAAAAAAGATTTGGAAGAAGAAGAAAAAACTGGAGGAGAGAAGACTCCTGAAAAAAAAAAAGATTTGGAAGAAGAAGCTAGAGGAGAGAAGACACCAAAAACTCCATTTGAGAGAAGATTATTATTTGAAAAGTACATATTTTGTGCTAGTCAAACATTCAACTTGCAAATTGACAAATTAACTAATATTATGAATATTACAGGATGGTTCTTGGAGAAAAAGGCAATAAAGAAAGCGATTTGGATCCCCCTTTCCTATCAACTCCCTTCTGGAAAGGACATGTTGAAATCAGAGGCAAGTGCACTCTGAAGGAAAGAGCATTTTGGAACTTTATAATGGAAGGGGACAACGACAATGCTGAAAAAACCACGTATGTTCATTTTATTCTGTAAAATGTTCATCCTGTTGTATGAAATGTTCATTAAAGTATATAACATGTTCATCTGGTTGTATACAATGTTCATTATATTATATAACATGTTCATCCTTTCTTTGTGTAACTGTTATAGAGAAGTCATCTTTGAAGGATTACAAATGGCCTGCACAAGAGAGGATTTCAAGACCTTCAAGCTTGGAGAATATATTTCAACAACAATTGTTGATGTTTGGGCGATGCACTTGAATTTCAGATTCCACAGCTTGAATAAAAATAAAAATAAATTCTGCTTAACAACTAATGTCATGGTAAGAATCCATATGTGATGAACTACTAACACCACCCTATATCTCTTACACTAAACATTCGACATACTTTCTAGATGGGATTGTCTTTACAAGCTATGAGTAACAGAAATCCGAAGGAATATGTGAGGGATGCAACTGCAAGGATGGATTTAGAGTTCACAGAAGAAGGGCTTATTCAACATGATATCAAGAATATCAGCCATGTGAGTAAATATAACATGTTCATCTCATTATAAAACATATTCATCTTAGTGTTAAACATGTTCATCTTACATTGGTCTGTTCCATTTTTGAGCTTATTGTCCCAGTCTATTTTCAGACCCATTTTTACCTCTACTGTTTGGACTTTGAAAATAAAAAACTAGGCATTCTTGATAACTTGGATACATTGTTGAGTGGAAATGTGCCACTAAATAACAAGTATGGCGGAACTAAAGATTTCTTGGTAAGAATTGACTATTTCAACTTACATTCTATATAGTTTTTTTTTTTTTTTTTTTTTTTATTACATTCTATATAGTTTTTTTATTTTGTAACAAAATCAATTATTAATTCTGGCATCAACAAACAGAAAAAGGTCATTGAAGAGTACAGAAAAATGTACAAGAAACCCTTCAAGAGCCCGTTCAACAAGCTTATCGTGAAACTGGTGAACATGCACTGCGCAGATTCAACAAACACAACGGACTGCGGAATATATGCAATGCATCACATGTCCAAATATGTTTGTGTGCATGCAGATGGCCATGATTACGCATTCCCTGTGATAGGCAGTGATTCGGTAATATTTTTCATCCTAAATTTTTGATGTTTACACGAGTTGCATATTACAAGTCAAACTGATATTGATTATATTGTCCATTTCAGAGGAAAAAGGTCCACATGAAGAACAAGTTGGACACTCTGCGGCTGAGGTACTTGGCCAAATTGATCGAGTCTCCAATAAACAAGAAATCAGATGTTGTCCGAGAGGATTTGAGTAATTATTTCGCTGAAAAGACAATCGAGTGACAAATGAACAACTTTGATAGATTTAGTGTTAGTTCTCTGTTTGTTCGGTTTGATAAACATGTTAGTTCTTTCTTTGTGTTAGTTCTCTGATAAGACAATTATATAATGTTAAATATATTCATAATGTTAAGAAACGTATTAATTTTACAAAGTAACATATTCATTTTACAAATCAACATATTCATTTTACCAAGAAACGTGTTCATTTTACAAAGTATCATCGAGTCAAACTTAGTATAATCGAGTCAAATTCTAGTATAGTGGATTCAAACTTAGTATAATCGAATCAATTCTAGTATGATCGAGTCAAATCTAGTATAATTGATTCAAATTCTAGTTTGATCGAGTCAATTCTAGTATAATCGGGTCAACCGTATTCATTTTACCAAGAAACGTACTCATTTTTCAAAGGAACATGTTTATTTTACCAAGAAACGTATTCATTTTACAAAGTAACATATTCATTTTACCAAGAAACGTATTCATTTTTCAAAGGAACATGTTCATGTTACCAAGAAACGTATTCATTTTACAAAGTAACATATTCATTTTACCAAGAAACGTATTCATTTTACAAAGTATAACAGAGTCAAACTTAGTATAATTGAGTCAAACTTAGTATAATCGAGTCAATTCTAGTATGATCGAACCAATTCTAGTATAATCGAGTCATTTCTAGTATGATCTATTCAACTATAGTATAATCGATTCAAACTCTAATATGATCAATTTAATTCTAGTATAATCGATTCAAATTCTAGTATGATCGATTCAAATTCTAGTATAATCGAGTCAAACTTAGTATAATCGAGTCAAATTCTAGTATAGTCGAGTCAAACTTAGTATAATCGAGTCAATTCTAGTATAATTGATTCAAATTCTAGTTTGATCGAGTCAATTCTAGTATAACCGATTCAAATTCTAGTTTGATCGAGTCAATTCTAGTATAATTGAATCAAATTCTAGTATATTCGAGTGACTTCTAGTATAATCTAGTCAAACTTAGTATAATCGAGTCAAACTTAGTATAATCGAGTCAAATTCTAGTATAGTCGATTCAAACTTAGTATAATCGAGTCAATTCTAGTATAATTGATTCAAATTTTAGTTTGATCAAGTCAATTCTAGTATAATCGGGTCAAACGTATTCATTTTACCAAGAAACGTATTCATTTTTCAAAGTAACATGTTTATTTTACCAAGAAACGTATTCATTTTACAAAGTAACATATTCATTTTACCAAGAAACGTATTCATTTTTCAAAGGAACATGTTCATTTTACCAAGAAACGTATTCATTTTACCAAGAAACGTATTCATTTTACAAAGTATAACTGAGTCAAACTTAGTATAATTGAGTTAAACTTAGTATAATCGAGTCAATTCTAGTATGATCGAGTCAATTCTAGTATAATCGAGTCATTTCTAGTATGATCTATTCAACTATAGTATAATCGATTCAAATTCTAATATGATCAATTTAATTCTAGTATAATCGATTCAAATTCTAGTATGATCGATTCAAATTCTAGTATAATCGGGTCAAACGTATTCATTTTACCAAGAAACGCATTCAATTTTCAAAGGAACATGTTTATTTTACCAAGAAACGTATTCATTTTACAAAGTAACATATTCATTTTACCAAGAAACGTATTCATTTTTCAAAAGAACATGTTCATTTTACCAAGAAACGTATTCATTTTACAAAGTAACATATTCATTTTACCAAGAAACGTATTCATTTTACAAAGTATAACTGAGTCAAACTTAGTATAATCAAGTCAATTCTAGTATGATCGAACCAATTCTAGTATAATCGAGTCATTTCTAGTATGATCTATTCAACTATAGTATAATCGATTCAAATTCTAATATGATCAATTTAATTCTAGTATAATCGATTCAAATTCTAGTATGATCGATTCAAATTCTAGTATAATCGAGTCAAACTTAGTATAATCGAGTCAAATTCTATTATAGTCGAGTCAAACTTAGTATAATCGAGTCAATTCTAGTATAATCGATTCAAATTCTAGTTTGATCGAGTCAATTCTAGTATAATTGAGTCAAATTCTAGTATATTCGAGTGAATGCTAGTATAATCTAGTCAAACTTAGTATAATCGAGTCAAACTTAGTATAATCGAGTCAAATTCTAGTACAGTCGATTCAAACTTAGTATAATCGAGTCAATTCTAGTATGATCGAGTCAATTTTAGTATAATTGAGTCAAATTCTAGTATATTCGAGTGAATTCTAGTATAATCTAGTCAAACTTAGTATAATCAAGTCAAATTCTAGTATGATCGAGTCAATTCTAGTATAATTGAGTCAAATTCTAGTATATTCGAGTGAATTCTAGTATAATCTAGTCAAATTTAGTAAAATCGAGTCAAATTCTAGTAGAGTCGAGTTGACGTGTTCATTTTACAAATAAACATATTCATCATGTTAAGAAACACATTACTTTATACAAATTCAACATATTTATCGCGCTAATTAACATATTCATCTCATAACGTTACATATTCATCTTATAAGTTGACATGTTCATTTTAAAACGTAACATATTCATCTTATAAGATGACATGTTCATTTTAAAACGTAACATATTCATCTTATAAGTTGACATATTCATTTTAAAAATAAACAATTCATCATGTTAATTAACATATTCCTTTATAGAATATCAACATATTCATCGCGCTAATAAACATAATCATCTCATAACCTAACATATTCATCTTATAATTTGAAATGTTTATTTTATAAATAAACAAATGCATCAAGTTAAGAAACACATTACTTACAAAATCAACATACAGCATGTGCAAAATCAACATATTCATTGGGTTAATAAACATGTGCATCTTTAAAAGACACATGTTCATATGAAAACAAAACATGTTCATAGAAAACAAAAGGTATCTTCATTTTGAGAGGCCATTTTCATGACCGGAGGATTGTATCCAAAACCTCTAGGATCATGTTGAGAATCTTGGTTAGGAGGAAAAGGATGCACAAACCGTCCAACAAATTCAGGGTTTGAAGAAAAGACCCGATTAAACATGGTGTTCCTATTCCTCAATGAAGCTTGTTTCTTGTTCTTCCCCTTTGATTGTCTTGAAATTTTCTCCACAGTACTTTTCCGTCGAATGTTTCGTTCTCCTCTAGGCCTCAATTTCTCTGGATCGTTAACATTCGCGGCAGAAGAATTCACGGTACAAGACGGTTCATCTGTAGCAAATGAAGAAAAATGAGACTCTATCCGATCAAACATGGATCTCAAACATTCATCAACAATATCTTTGGCATTTTGATCCATTTCACTTGATGAAACAATCTTCAGAAACTGGCATATTTTGTCGGATCTCCAAAGGCATGCACCTGAAATGAACATATTTGATTCAGTAATGACATGTTGTCAGTACTAAATGAACATGTTCTATTGTATAATGAATATCATGCACATGTTTCAGTAAGACATGAACATGTTCTATTGTATAATGAATATGTACCTGGCACATGGTAACCCGCAGAATATTGGGTTCCCTCCAAGTCTAAACGACAGTATAAATTGGCATTCCGACGCCACCTTGGATGTACATACATATCCGGAACTCTTTCGACATTAAAAACGATGTACACCCTAAGACAGTGGCAGCAAAAGAAACCAACCTCCGAAAACAAATCGCATGAAATTGCAGCTATATACAGTTGCTCAAAATGAATATATGCTTCAATTGTGTACAACTCACGAACATTAAGGAGCAGAGAATTATCAGGGAATTGACATTCCACACGGCCATTGTTGCACCGAAAGTCATCTTTATTTCTCCTTCTCTCTCCACTCCTCAAGAACTTTGACAAAATGAGAATAAAAGCCACACAATCGAGCAGTCTTAGGAAGTTTTGCCTAAATTGAGTTGTTTGTTGATTCACTCCTTTGGGATGACAATATACCACCAGAGAAATGAGTTTTGTTAAAGGCTGGACACCATTTGTGACGATTTGAATACAACCGCTTCAGCCATTTATCATCAGCGCAATTGTATGTATCACACATACTGAAGTATCAAGAACAATGTTACAGTATGAAATGAATATATGCAATTGTATATTGAACATGTTCGTATAAAAAATAAACATGTTCGTATAGTAAAGGAATATGTTCATATACAAAATGAACATGTTTAATAACTAAATGAATATTTTTTATACAAAGTGAACATGTTTAATAACTAAATGAATATTTTTTGTATACAAAGTGAACATGTTTAAATCAAAATGAACTTTTTCTAGAAAAATAAAATCATGAACATGTTACAGTATGATATGAACATGTTTCAGTATTAAATGAACATGTTCAGTTGTTTAATGAACATGTCTAGATTCTATTTGACATGTTCTTTGAACTTTTCCAAAACACAAAGAATAAACACCTATTTAATATATGACAATGTTTCAGTATGATTTGAACATGTTTAATAAATAAATGAACATGTTTATATACGAAATGAATTTTATCTACAAAAATTATTATCATGAACAAGTTACACTGAGAAATAAACATGTTTCAGTATTAAATGAACATGTTTAATTGTAGAATGAACGTGTTCAAATATAAATTGAATAACTCACTTTTTCCAATAAAAATCGAATTCTGGTATTGTGTCCGTTGATCTCAAAACCAAATGAAAAAGATTGATGAAACCGGGCATTATCCGAAGATACTGAATGTGCTTTTTTGAATTCTCGTCAATATGCCAGGTGCATAAGCGATGTTGGGATTGCATTAACACCAATGGGATTGCAGCTGCCATGGCTGCATCTTCATCGGTCATTATTGTGGCAGGCTGCTTCCCACCCATTGACTTCAGAAATTCATACAACAACCACTGAAATGAATCTTTGTCCTCATGAAGCAAAAAACCAACACCGAACATAATGCTTCTCTTGTGATGGTTCATCCCTGTAAATGGAGCACATGCAAGATTG